TACTAATTGACAATGTTATTGCATTCCATCAGACAAATCGTAAGTAGGTTCACTAACCCCCAGTAATCCTGCAAAAGTAAAGGGCGATGAATGTGTGAGGATCATCAACATCACTACAAAGAAACAACAAATTTCATTTAAAGAACAATATGCATTTGGTCTCAAATTCTTTACTAAAAATTTGATGATAACTCTTTAACATGGGTAAATGAGCCGAAGCACCATAATCACATAGAGCTATAGCGCTTAAGTAGCTGCTTATTGGATTAATAAGTAGAATGTAAAATACTTCACCGGTTATATCAATGGTATACCGGAGATGTATGTGTACATAGGTATTAGATATCTTTATAGTTTTTTTATTTAAATTTGTCAATGTGAATTTTCCTACACTATGTTTTTTCACAAGAAATAAATAAATAAGAAACTATGAAAACGTTATCCATTCAACAAAAGAGTTAAACAAAGTTATTCAGCCATGATAGAGGAAGTAATGTAGTCACCAGGAAAAAAGATAAAAATGCACCATGGCAAGCAAATAAACTCTATATTTAAATGCCCATTCTAATAAATAACCACATTGCAGTGTTTATCTTCAAAACTATAGTGCAGCAAATAGTACATAAAGAAGGTTTTGTAATCAATTCTGTATATCATAACCAAAGAAATAAAGAAAGATCACCTAATAGAATCTTCATAGCATTTCATAAACAAAAATCACATAGCATTTTACAAAAAGCAAAACTTGACTATCAAACGCCACAAAGTATTTATAATTGTGTTGAAAAAGTTTTAAATTCTAATCTTGAGCCACCATATACATGGTCAACGGAAAAATATAGTAAAAATTCCTACCGATATCACATCGACTGAAAAATAACAAAATTCACAAAGGAAAAGAACCTCATTATATCCTAAACCCAGTGCCACAACCCAAATTACATATTTAAAATCCTCAGTTATATCTCTAATTTTTGCCATTCCTTCTTAGTTCATGCTAGCAGAAACTAATAGAGCTTCACAATCATTTGAACCTTTTAAAATGTAAAAAAAAAAAAAAAAAACATAATAAAAAAATAGAGAAATNNNNTTGTTCTAAAATGCGCGCTTAGGCGTGCCTAGGCGCGCTAATGCAGGCTAATGAGCGCAAATGCGTGCCTAGGCGCGCGAATTTTCGAACAAAAAACGTCAAACACGCATTTTCCGCGCATTGCACCAATTCGACGCGTTTGATCCGCGCATCGCGCCTAGGCGGCGCATTTTCGCGCCTTTTCGAACACTGATGAAAGATCCATAACCTTTACAAATTATCACATTTATGTTTCAAACTTTTTATTGCATTTGTATTTTTAAATTAATATAAATTATCGTTGATTAAGGTTTCTTTCCAAAATTTTCTTTAAAATAGAGTAAAAAGACTCATTTTGTCCATTTTATTTTTGAATAAGGATAATAAATAATATTGCAAAAATGCGTTAGATATTTGACCCTTATCTTAAAGAGCGTTAACAATATTTTTGGATGAAAACTATGATTAAGAAAAAGATTCTTTGAATGATGAAATTTTAAAAAATAAGAATGTGATGAAAAAAGTTAAGAATATAAATGTAATAATGAATAAAAATTAATAATCTTTAATGTAATTAAAATATGGTGTATTTATAAAAAAATATTGGGATGATTATAACCGCCATAAATATATTCAAACCACATTTTTTATAATTGTAGAACATTTTAATTACATAAAGTCCCATAATCTTTACTTATTGTTTTAGTTACCTCCTCAAATTTTCATTACATTTCACATAGTCCCTGATTATATTTTAAGAGAGAGCAAAAAAAAAACTTATTTAACCTTCTTGTTTTTAAGTAATTGTATATTGATCTCTCATCTTAAAGAACCTAACAAATGTTGACAAAAAATCGTAATTAAAGACTATATATTAATTAATAAAATGTTAAATAGAAGAATGTGATAAAAAGTTAAGCACATAAGTGGAATAATTAATAAAGATTAAGAATATTTTGCCTCTGTTTGGTAAAAGTTCAAATTCAAAATTTGAATTTGAATTTAATTTTAATCACATTTTATGGGATTCATAACTTTTTATCCACACAAAGCTGGTTTTGGCCCCAAGGCTACCTAGGCGGTGGACTTGGGCCTTAATTTGTGAGGGGCCTCTACAAAAATTAAAAGCCCAAATGATTGTTTTATGTACAAAAAAAAAAATTATGGAATTTTGCCATGCCACTCTTAATTAAACTCCTCTTTAAAAGTTAAATGACGAACTAATCCAAGTGAAAAGTATAATTAAACTCCTCTTTAAAAGTTAAATAACGAACTAAACCAAGTGAAAAGTACATGAAAAAGGGACTTATCAAGTTCAGCTATTACAAGAAAAATAACTTTTTTGCGATTGGCAATATTTGTTGTCAAATGTCTTTTGCAACGTTCGACCCTAATGGATTCTAAAGAAATTGCTACGCTTGTTAAAATAAAAAAAAAAAAATGGCGGCTTCATAATAATTTGTTGTCTTCGGCATCAAAATTTTTAGGATCGACTCTGAAACCACAGATTTTATCAACTTTTATCAAAATCTATTAAAAGTCTAATTTTAATTCCATCAATCATGGACTTAATGATAAAACGCAATATGAATAAAATGGCATGAATAGTTACACTATGGCACAAATGTGAAAATTATGTTCTAGAAAATCCCATAAGAATAATGTTATTTTCAATCGCCCACTATCGTAATCGCTCTATATAATATATATGTGATAGTTAATTATTTGATGCATAAGACAATCAAAAATTACCATTAAATTATTAAGTATGTCGCGTAAAGCGATTAAAACAGTGATCCATTGCAGATTGCGTTACTTATTCCATAATCCCTCACCTTCTATTTAAACCACAATCAGAAAAGGCAAGTACAGAGACATGTGGTCTATGTGAACACGCCAATCAAAACACACAATTATACGTCGCTCCAATTCAAAGCCTTTAACCCCTCTACGTTATCATCCCGTTCCCCTTTCGAGCCACCGTCCATGGCGGCCGGACTTTCAGTAGCTGGTTGTTCTTCGAGAACCATTCTTTTCAAGCACAGCCCATTTCTAGGCCCGAAGCCCACTAAACTCTTCTTTCCCTCCATTCACAGTTTTGATAAGATTTTGAGGTGTAAAAAGAGGAATAACTTGACTGTTTGTTTTGTGCTGGAGGATGAGAAATTTGATACGAGTAGAGAATTGGAGAGAAACCCAACTGTAGAGGAGATTCAGAGAGATTTATCTGCGGCCCGGTTGGCTGAGAAATTGGCTAAGAAGAAGTCAGAGAGATTTACTTATCTTGTTGCTGCAGTTATGTCCAGTTTTGGGATCACTTCTATGGCTATCATGGCTGTTTATTACAGGTTTTCTTGGCAAATGGAGGTAAAATTCTCTTCTTTCTTCTAAAAATCACGCCTCGTGAGGTGGATTGTGCAGTAATGAATGGTATTAAATTGGATTTTTCATCCTATCGATTCTTTTCTTTTAAAATATATTGTCCAATAATGTAAGATCGGAATTGAATTTGTTGTTGTGTAGGGTGGAGAGATGCCTTTTGCAGAAATGTTTGGTACATTTGCTTTATCTGTGGGGGCTGCTGTAAGTTCCACGGCTTCAAAATCAACAATTTTAGAATTGCAGAGTTTTTCAGTAATGAAATTTGTGGTGTAATTGAATTTCAGGTAGGTATGGAATTTTGGGCAAGATGGGCTCATAGAGCTCTATGGCACGCATCCTTGTGGCACATGCACGAGGTTTGTTTTTTCGACTACTAAGAATAATATACTAATCTTTAATTTGTTATTCAAAAAAAAAAAAAGAGTCAAGCGGAAGTGTGATTTAGAGATTATTTTTGATGTAATGATTTGAGTACTGATAGTGGTCCTTCCAAATTTTATATTAGCAACTTATTGCTTTCTTTCTTTCTTTGTAATTGCAGTCGCACCATAAACCAAGAGAAGGCCCTTTCGAGCTCAACGATATTTTTGCCATAATCAATGCCGTTCCGGCCATCACCCTCCTCTCGTATGGCTTCTTCCATAAAGGCCTCGTTCCTGGCCTCTGCTTCGGAGCTGTAAGTCTTTTTCCTTACATGATTGTAATTCCTCTTTCTTTTCAAGTACAAGTAATTAGAGTTCTGCATAGAAATATTTCTTCCAGGCTCGACTATGCTTGGACCGTGTCAAAATGTGTGCAGGGTCGTCCGTGGTCGGTCCATTTTAGACCTTTAATTTTAGGTTTTTAAACCGGTCCAATTATAGACTAAAAATAAAAAATTATAAGCGGTTGAAATTATTTAAGAACTTAATTCATCCCAAAACCAGCCACTTCGCAACCTAAGTGGGCAAGTTCTTGCCAGAATTTCGATTGATTTAACTATTTTACTGTAGACTTGACTCTGATTTGATCTTGTTTCGACCTTTTAATTCTTATAATCGTTTATCTTTTTGGTGTGAATTTTTAATTTTTTTGCAGGGTCTTGGAATTACGATGTTTGGCATGGCCTACATGTTTGTACATGATGGTCTTGTTCACAAGAGATTCCCAGTGGGGCCCATTGAAAAGGTGCCATATTTTAGAAGAGTGGCTACAGCTCATCAAGTATGATAGTGTGAACTTGTACATTATAATTTATACTAGGATACAAGTGATATGATCTGCTTATACTGCCATGGTCTAATTTGATTTCAGCTTCATCACTCAGACAAGTTCAAAGGTGTCCCGTATGGGCTGTTCCTAGGACCTAAGGTAGTCCAAAATCCCTTTCTTTCTCTACGTGTGCATCTATATATCGATATAGATAACGTATCGTTTGAAGTATCGCTTTTAAAATTCGACTAGTTGTTTGAATAATAAATAAGAGTAATTTATCTACTAGGTGTAATGTGGACTCCACTTTCACCTAAACTACTACTAAACATCGTTGTATGGGCCGTCTAAATTACTGTTAAACATCGTTGTTGCAAGAGTAGTCTACGTGTAGTATAGACTTCAATGTCACCTAAAGTATTGTTGAACACTGCTATTGTCACTTGACTGTGTTGAATACCATTACTGCTCGATAATATTTATTCATTTGTGCTTTTTAAGTATACCTTCTTGAAGAGTTGTCCAAATTCGTATATGGTCATTATTGTTTTTATATTTAAGAAATGAAGTATCAACATTGGCTTTTTTTCGTCATATGTATAATTTGTTTACTATCATGGAATTTAAACTTGGTGTCGATGCAGGAACTTGAAGAAGTTGGAGGACTTGAAGAATTGGAAAAGGAAATTAGCAGAAGAATTAAAATTTCTAAGAATCAATGATGTTTTGTGGGACATAATTTGAGTTCTTGTTATTTGTTAGAAAGAAGAAAAATTATGAGAAATTAATGAAATTGTTTTGATCTCACTCTTCTGCTTACACTGGAGAGAGAGAGAGAGAGAGAGAGAGAGAGAGAGAGAGAGAGAGATATAAATATTGAAAGAAAAAATCAGCTACGTTTGTAAAGACAAGAAGACATTAAATCATTAATAAATAATTTTCGATTTAGTACGCTTTTGTGCTGAAAATAAATTAGATAGATAAATAATTTAAACTCGAAATATTATCAATTTTCACTCAAACAAAAGTGGGAAAACTTTATTAAAATAAATCGTGTTTGACTTAGTTAAAGCTATACTTGATTTGTAATGATTAAACGTAGAATTTTATCCTTGCACGACAATTTTACCCAACGTTTTGCATCAATGAACAAAATTTGGGTCTTATCCTACTTGTAATGTTTACTCAAATTTTTAGGTCACTGATCAAGTAAAAAATTTTAAAACGACATGTTATCATGTAAGTTTGTCAATAATCGAACTTATAAAATGCTATCACTTGAAAAATTTCATACAATTAGAACAGTGTCAATCGATTATCCACGACAGTGCTAAAAATTGCTTTTATAAGATTTTTAGTTCAAAACAAATAAGTTGATACGAAACTTTGTCCCAATAGAAATATCCAAATGTCCATATGACATCTCTCTTGAATGCTCGAACAAGTTGTTTGTTGACATCTTGTTAGGGAGCATTAATAGCCTTTACTTTTCAAAATAATGCCTCCAAAATTGGATTTCAATTTCCCGTGGAATTCGAACAAGCATCTCTCGTACGCCATACAGGTTCCAGCAATGCGTTTTAGCGTTTGAAAGTTAGCACTAACGTGCGCTAAAACGCGTTGGCCACATACCGGCGTTTTTGTCTGTTTCAATGGCCGGCAATGTTCTAAAAGCACAACAAAGTGAATTTGTAGGTGGTGTGGGTGGGAGTGTGGGTCTTATAGAGGTGTTAAGTATGGGTGCCGGCTCGTGCGCAAGGCGGCTGTGGGGTGCAAGTTGATTAGCAAAATACTCGTGCGAGTAGCTCGTCACCTCAAAAGCTGGCTCGTAAAATTGTGAAAAATAAAAAATAAATTGACGAGTAACGAATTGTTTGCCTCGCCCTTTGAAGGAGCGAGATAGTGGTGCGAGCCTAGTCGAACCTAACGGTTGACGAGTCAAGTAATTCGGATTGACCCATTTAACAGAATTCTAATATCAATTGCTTAATATGTATATTAGTAGGCACGTATGAAATTATTACGTGTATAAAGTTGTGTAAAATATACGTAAATTATTTTAAAAATCTAAAACATTTTATCTACCTAACTAAAGTCCCAGAATTTATGAAGTGTCGTATTTACAATTAATCATTTGTTAATGCACTTTCAAGTTTTACAATATTTTAACAAAATAACACCATATCTTTATCGTAGCCCATTATTATCAATCCATCATTCCATCCTCCAATTCTGCCACCGCCTCGCGACGGCGGCGGATGACAAATGGTGGTTAGACATTTAGAGATGATGGAATGTGCTAAAATAATATTGAATTTTGCCATAAAATAACAAATTCAAGTTCCAAGCACTTTGCGGTGGTGTCTCCTCAAAATCCTATCAATTATTTGTTTTTGCACTCAGAGCCACATGTTCATTTTGTAGCAAATCCATTCCACATAGACAAAACCTTTTTATAATTTATATTTCTCAATTATATGACCTAAGTGAGTGGTTCCACCTTTTTTCTATGTCATGACTAGTGTAATGTTCCACCTAAGGTCAAATTACATATTTCTAATTCTTCATCAATTGTTGAAACCCTTGCATATATGATGTTCGTATAAGAGATAAATCGCCTTACTTTTGAAAAATACATCTTACTTCAACTCGTAAGATCATAGCAAAGTGTAGCTACTTAAAAATCTGACTTCCGAGGACTATATAAGCAAGAGTGAAAATTTATATTCACTTCGTGGAGTTGTCTTCCTCATAAACCTATCAAATTCTTAGTTTTTTGTCGACGAGGCTACGTGTAAATTTTGTAGCAAATCCATTCCTAAATACCAACCTTTTGTCTAATTTATTTATCAATTGACCTAATTTGGTGGTTAGTCCACTTTATTTTATGTCATGAATCATGAAAATACCCCACGTAATTGCATATCTATTATAATATCCAACCAAGTTTAAAGGATAGACTTCGATTTTTTTCATGAATTGTTCGGAAAACTTTACATCAATCACTTTTTCATAGACCGAAAGTGTTGATTCGTGCTCTATAGAATACGCGTTGGCGATAATAAAGTGAATACTATTCTCATTAAATTTATAGTTAATTAATCGTTCTTTTGGTCATCTATGGCCTCCGCGAGGTGTAACATATTAGCCCCTCGTTTTTAAATAAGCAAAAAAACAATAAATACAAAATTGCAATATAATATTTTTCCGTCGCTTGAAAATATTTGGATAGAAACTATCATCGTGGATTATATAGGTTGATTAATGAGTGGCTGATGATTAAAAATATGAAAAATATGTAAACCTAAGTGTAACGATAATCAAAGATTGAAGACCTTTAATGTAATTAAAAGGTGATATAATAAAAGAAAATTGTGATACAATGTAACTAACTATAGAGATTAAACAATTTTTTTTTTAAACTTGGACTTGACACCTTGCTTCCATGTGCATGCACTAACTCACATTCTCTTGATTAAAAAATCATCCTTTTTATTGGCCACTCATACCAAATTTTCCCTAGCCACGTGTTAGTGAATGGCAACTTTCACATTTTTAAAATAAATAATTATTTTTGCGTAATGGATCAATCCACTCCCACTTAGAAACACCTTTGCCGTCAAAGCACATCTCACCACAATTTTATATGAAATTATTGAATATTATATGCCCTATACATTTCCATCCTTGTAATTGCAATTACCAAGAGTACCAAACGCGAGATGACCATGACGTGTACAGCATATGAATCAAACGCGAGAATAGAATTTCGATTGTATCATAATCGACATAATGTGAAATTGCGTCATCTTTCATCGTTACTTCAATTCACTATAATGAAAATAAATTTATAAGAGAATATGTACATCCCTTCTTCTCTAGCGCCTATTTGAGGCGCATTAATAGCAAAGAAAAATAAAATATGTGACCGTTAGTTTCAAAAAATTTGAATTGGTGTGGAATAAAAAGTCAAACATTACGGTTCAAACAGTTGGATTTCTCATTTTATTGTCTGAATAGTGCACTTCAAACGGGGGCCTAATCTATATCTTTTAATATATATATATATATATATTATAACAATAATTAAAGTCTATAACTTGGCAGGTAAAAACATTAAGATTTTTATTTCTTTTTGACTCGATAACGCAGTACTTGTAGACCGACAACAAAAGTTAAAATTTTGAGACCTATCTTGATGGATTTTTAGGCTTAAGGTCTTTTTGAAAAGGTGAAAAATAAGTGAGGCTGCCCCGTACATATGATTTAAGTTTTTCTCTGAAGTTCAATTGTGGCATCCAATAAATGAGGCTTCCCCGGACATATTTCAAAATGGGCCCATGGGCGTAGATCGACCCGATTGGATCAGCCTAGCAGGAGAATGTTGAGGCTGAATTGGGCTTGTCCGAGTTACATTTTGAGAAAATTACACAAAATCAGATTTTTAAATATTCAATTTTAAAAATCAGATTAAAAGTTTAACTTTTCAAAAATCGGACATGTTATTTTAAATCTTAAATATTAATTTTACAATTTTCATTCCAAACTCTAATCATTTTCATTTTAATTTTCCTCCTCTCTACCTTCTCTCATCTCCATCACTCTCTCTTGTCCACTCTCTACCGCAGTCAGCCTCCACGCAGCAGCCCATTGTCGAGTCCAAACGGCCCATTCTCAAACTACAGCGGCCCAGATTGCTAGAAGCTCTGTAAATCTACGGTAAGGCCATTCCTTCACTGTAAACGCCACTGAAGGCTCTATAGATTGCGGTTGCAGCGACATGGATCACAGTGGTGATGGCGCAGATCATGGCTGCAACGACGCAGATCGCCATGTCAATGATTTTTTTTTAATTGTTGGATGGGTGGCAGTAGTTTCCATGTTTTGGTGACTTTGGGGTGATGTAGTCGTGGCGGTGAGATGGTGGTGGTGACACTACTAATGGTTATGGTGAGGTATTGACAATGATGATGACACTGGAGGCGACGGTTCATGTGGTAGTGGCATTGGTGGGGGCAGTCAGATTTTGTTGCTTGCGATTTGGTGTTTGGGCGGCGAAGGTTAGGCGGTGATTTTATTGATTTTTGGGCGGCGATTTTGTTGATTTTTGGGAGCCGATATGGTGTTTAAGCGACAGTGTTGGATCTTGTGGTGCGGTGGTGACGATGGTTTTGTTGGTGGTTATGGTGATGAGGTGGTGGTGTCGGTGGATTTGAAATTGAAAATTTATTAGAGGTGGTGGTGTCGGTGACGAAGATGGTAGGGTTGGGGATTTTTATTGGTTGTAGGTGGGGGTGGGGGTGGAGGAGGTGGTGGTGGTGGTGGTTCGACGATGGGGTTTCAATTGCCATGCTGTTGGTGGCAATGGTAAGGTGATAGTCACAAGTGTTGGTAGTGGTCACAGATTATTTGATTGTTTGTGACAATAAATTGATGAATTTGTGACCGATAAACAAAATGTGACTAATGAAAAAGATAAATTATGATAAAAAAATAATGTGTAACCTAAAAAATTGTTAATTTATTACCGATAATTTGATAATTTGTGACTTATAATATTTGTAACTTATGACCTATAAATAAATTATGACGTTTCAATTTTTGATTTGTGATCGATGAACAAATCGTGACTTATAAATTTTTTGAATTGTGGCATTAAAATAATTTGTGATATATAAAATTTGTGATTTGTGACCAATAAATAATACGTGACTTATTAATT